TGGCACTTTTCGCATAGGCATTTTTGGGCGGGCACAGCCTGCGACGGGCAGCTTCATGTTCCTCTTCCATTCGTATCTCATTTAGTAGTTGAAGGAAGGTGGGGGGGGTGTCCCTACGCTCTCTTAACCTCAGATTCACCATCATTAGGTCAGATCGTGTGGCCCCTTTAATCAACTGGTCGAGACGTGCTTTGTCAGCGGAAGAGGACGGCAGTCCTCCTTTATGAACGACTTTGTTCAGCACACGCTCCATGCGCCTCAGAAACTCAGACAATTTCTCGCTAGGGTGTTGACACAGCATCCTGAATGCAAAGTAGAGCTCTTCACCCGTTTCTTGTGTACCAAAGGTGTTTTCCAGTACATCGAGATATCCCATAGCGGTGGTATCTGGGTTGTTGAATCGGACAGCCTGTAGGATCCCTAGTGCAGGACCCTTTACGGTCTCCTTGATTCTCAGTTTCTTTTCCCTTTCAGGTCGATCACCCTCAATCAACTGCTCCAGCCAGTTCTCCAGTTGTTCTTCTCCAGGAGGGGTGGGTGTGACTCCAGAGAAAGTTCTCAGCCTTCTGTAGGGCCCACTTTCATTGTTAGGTTTGTTTGCTCTCAGCAAAACATCCCCCACTGCCCTTATTATAGCCTCTGGAGAGGAGGTGTGAAACAGGGAAGCTGGGCTGGAGTCAGGGTTTGGCTCCTGAGCCCTTTCTCCGGCCCTTTGATCCTGCGGCCTATCCTCCTCTGCTCGGATTCTTCCCAGCACTTTAATTTTCTCCAATGTTTCTTCACTGAACTTCACTCCCACTCCTTCTGGTACATCTTTAACCAGAATAGCCTTCATTGGGTCGATGCCTTCACCTTTGCACCAATGCCTTAACTGAGCCATCCCCATGGGTTTTGCGTTTTGACCGTCTTTTTTTTCTTTTACTCTAGAGCACCACTTGGTACTAACATACAACACTTTTAGATAATTCCAAAATCTAAGCTCCCTGCTTATACTTCAGCTTCTAACCTGGGCTAGCCTAATCGCTGGGTCTAATGCTACTGCACTTTCCACACCAAATACAATCCCAGCGGTGCCTCCATTTTATGTAGCACCCTTCTCACTCTACCTAGGAGGGGCACCAACTAGACGAGTTAGAATGAGGGGTGCTTGGGTTTGTTTAATCAAAATTAAAACTAATAACCCCTATAACTAGTAATGAGGACTTGTAGCATGGTGCGTGAGGAAGGAAGATAGACCCAGCGATGGCTTAAATAAGAACACACGGCTTAGGCCGGATTTATTAAACCAAGATAACTAAAATGACCTCTTATGAGTACAAAACCAATGAGTAAAAGAAAGAATGATGAAGGCAGTAACAAAAAGAACCAAGATTACCAGATCGGTTTCTACCA